GGGTAAAGGGAAGGGAAAATGGGGATAAGGGAGATTAAACCCTGGTGGTGTTGGTAAAAAACTCATACAGAAATCATATGAGGCACCCACCAAAGTTCTTGCTTCAATAATTTTTTAAATACTAGTTTCTTCAACTAAAAAATATTAAAGGCAATTTGCAACTTATGTCTTTCCAAATAGCAAGCATATCTAAAGGAACTATTTGGTTATAGCATCCCTTTATTAGAAAATTTTTTATTAGAAAAGTAAACTAAAAAATATTATACAGAAAATTGTTAAGTTTCATAATAAAATTTTGTTAAAATTTTGTTGTCTTAAGTAAAAAATTAATATAAGAAAAATTATTAAATAAACTCAATATAGGAATGATTATAGAGACACTTTTCCTTTTCAAAATAGGTGGAAAGAGATGTTTACATATTGAAAATTGTATAAAAAAAATAAAAATAAAAATGATCATTTTTTTATTGTAATGTTAATAGGTAAAAATATATAAATAATCTTACAAAAAAAATATAGGGAACTTTCTCGGAAAAAATTCCAAGACAAACAACCCCAAAATGGAAAAATGGCAAGATCCGAGACAACTAAACGACGTCGTCTTTATTTTCATCGAGCATTAGTATTGCGGTGGGCAAGCTAGGGTTTTCTTTTCGATTTCTAGCTTGGACTCCCCTCATTTCTGGCATCACTCTTCTTGCAAAACCCTAGGTATGTCTCGCTTGCTTGCTCTTGTACTTGATCTTCTGCTTTAGCATCAACCTTTAGGCTCCATCTGGTTTCTTTCTCTTTTCTGATTTGCTCTTTATTTCTTTGCAAATCTTAAAACTTAGCTCTAATGAGTAGATTCTGAAGTGACCAAGTGGGTGGGTATTGCAGGTGCGGTGAAGCAGAGTGAAAATGGTGGAGAAGACGACAGGAAGGAAGGAGGAGGTGGTTACCAGAGAGTACACCATCAACCTTCACAAACGCTTGCATGGCTGGTAAATATCCATTTGCTTTCTGGGTTTTACATTGTGTTGCTTTTAGTGGCTGGTGGGTGTTGTTTTCTATTTTAATTGATATTATTTTTCTGTTAATCCTCATTTAGTGAATTGTTGATTTTCTTTTGAATGTTTGAGGTTGTTATTTAATGCAATCATTTTTCCTGGTAATGTAAAGCTATGAGGAATTAATGGCTTCTTGTGATGATGCCTTGTCGTTTTCTAGTTGATTATTAGATTTTTAATGTTTAGGCTGCAAGGTTATTTGAAATGGAAATGGGTATTAGTGGCACAGAATGTTTCAAGTCTGTTTTTTCTTTTGAATATAGTGGTGACTCTCGAACAAACTGAAATTGAATGCGGAGGTGCTGGTAAGAGTGTACCTTTGGTGTCTACTACTGGTTGAGAGGGTCCAAAAGGTCATGGCTTTCAGTTGGGTTACAAGGGCTATCGTATCGTGTTTCTTTCATGGTTCAGAAGAATTTTGTTCGTCGTTTGCATTGGAGAATTGGGTAGCAAAGATAATTTTCTTGCTTATTAAGTTGTGAACTGAATATAGGAACAAATCTTTGCTGTTCAATTGATTGTGAATGAATTTCTTTGTTGCTTCTTAAGCCTTTTGTGGTTCATTTGGATTGTCCCATGTATTACAATATTGTGCTTTTGGTAGTCAATTACATTATTTTATACCATTTTTTACTCAATCTTGATGCCTTTAACTTGGGTCTGTGAAATTTTATATTGTTAACAACTGTTCGATTGTACTATGGGATTGACTAACATGAAGAGAATGGTGGAGTAACTATGCTTCTTTGTTTCTTTGGAGACAGTACCTTCAAGAAGAAGGCTCCTAAAGCCATAAAGGAGATCAGGAAGTTTGCACAAAAAGCCATGGGAACAAAAGATGTCAGAGTTGATGTCAAGCTGAACAAGCAGGTCTGGAGCAGGGGAATCAGAAGTGTCCCAAGGAGGATTAGGGTTCGCATTGCTCGCAGGAGAAATGATGATGAAGATGCAAAGGAGGAGCTATACTCTCTTGTAACTGTTGCAGAAATCCCACCAGAAGGACTCAAGGGTTTGGGTACCAAGGTAATTGAAGATGATGATTGATTTATCATCCTTTTTATAAAGTTTGCACTTTATTAGCAGAACAAAACTTACATGGGAGCTTGCCTGGTAAAGAGCTTGATGACTTATGAGACAAACTACCTTTGTTGGTGCATCGTCATTTAGATTGTTGAATTTTGTTCAAATTTTTTGTTGTTGTGAAAGTAGTAGTTGTCTGAGATAAGAGCTTTATAATGATATCTTCGAAATGGAAGAATGCTTAAGTTTCAAATTTTCGGTGTTGATAAAGTAATAATTCTATTGAATTTGCACAGCGAGGTGGGGATATTGGGCAAATGAGGGAAACTGATTTAGTCAATTAGAAGATCGCATGTTACCATGTCTGGTGCCTTTTCCTTTTTGTTTTTGTCTCCCATTCAAGTGCTATTAGGTCACACTTCAATCCAGTGTAATGGGAATTCTTGAATTATGCTCTGATAATAACACTGAACCCTCTGGCAACAGTCTATTATTGATGATAATTGGAGCATTGCTTCTTGCAGAGTTGGAGGCTCCGATAAAAGGATCATGATAAACCACTACATTTTAAATTTAAACGTTATAAGCTTCTTAGTTTAAATGTTTTCCCTAGATATTCAAGAACAACAATATTTCCATTTATACAATCTTACTTCCTCAGAAAAGGACTGCCAGCCATTGCTAAAAGTATGAGAAGCCGGTTTAGCATCTTCTTCATAGATGTGCAACCAACACAACTGAATTTAAGTTCGACAAATTTGCATTGTAAAATTTAGTAGCAATCTAAAGAGTTGAATATATTACTAACAATATATTGCATCAAAAGGATATTTTTGTCAATAGATATACACATTTATCTCCAAACTTGGGACGGGGTTATTATAGTCTAATCCAATCCCATCCAATCTAATCCCATTGTTTATATCATGTTCAATCCCATCCAATCTTATATTTCAAACATGCCCTAGAGACTAGAGATCGGCTTTCCCAGGATATCTTGGGAATGGAATAACGTCCCGGATGTTATCAATGCCAGTGGCGAAAAGAATCATGCGTTCAAAGCCTAAGCCAAATCCACTATGTTTAACTGTCCCAAAGCGCCTGAGGTCCAGATACCACTCATATGGCTCAAGAGGCAGCCCCATCTCAAGGATTCTGCAATGCAGAACGACCAACTTTATACTTATTATTTTCAATATTGTATGAAATTACAAAGGAATTTGGTAGCTAAGATTGTGATCAAGGAGAAAAATAACAAAACACCATTAGAAGCAATCAAATGCTTTTGAAGTGAACTAAAAAGCCATTG